TCCATATTCAGGGGGTTTAAATAAATTAGGAGGATTTATCCCAAAGCATTATTTAATTTACAAAATGTTCACTATGGCAATAGAAAGAAAGGGGAAACATAGTATTCTGGGAAGACGGTGGTCTCAACAGCATCATAATTTTGGGATTTTCCCATGTCCCTCCATAAAAAGACAAAGCAAGCACATTAAAAAAAATTGAGACAATATTTATACAAAACTAGGTGATAACCCAAAAATGCAAGCAATGGAGGCAAACCACCAACAGCCACATGACCTGCATGTTATTGGCTTCTGGTGCTGGGGGTGTGGGGGGAAGGGGGGCAGCAATGGGCACCTGGAAGACCTGAGAACAGCAGGCCAATTTGAGACCGGTGGAAACTGAGAGGAGTTTTGCTGTCTCAAATAGCAGCTGAACACAGGGGGCCTGCAAGGAAGGTCTGAAGGGGCAGGTGCAATCTAGACCCTGTCTGGATGGTTTTGGTATTCTCAAAACCAACCAGACAGGGATCCCTTCCAGGATAGGCCCCACACTAAGCAGAAACTCCAGGGAATCAAATCTGAGCAGGATAGAAATAAAAAGGACAAAGAAATGAGAAAGGCCAAATAAAAGCACGTCAAAAAATCTCAAAAAGCAAGTAACCACCATGTTTCTAATTACTACCCTGAAGATGGCAGAAAAGGGATCTCCGCCAAGTTAGAACAGCTATCTGAACCAAGCCACCTTCTTTCTAAAAAGCTTGGGAAAACAATTCACACACACACACAAAAAAAAAACAAGCAAAAACAAAACGAAACCAAAGATCAAGGTCAAATCTCAAAATTAAGAAAAAAAAGAGTATAAGGCACAGAGTAACATCCCTACAGACAATATAAGAATGCGAAAAAGACATGCTCAAAAAAAGATTAAAAACTATACTATTTCAAAATGAGAAAAAAGACATTAGAAAACAATGACATAAAATATTGTAATTAAGAACTAGAAAAATTCAAAAATAAAGTAACAGAAATCAAGAAAAGACAGAAATAAAAGAAAAATCACTTTAGAAATGAAATCTAACGGGCCAGCCCGGTGGCGCACTGCTACAGTGCGCCGCTCAACACCGAGGGTTGCGATCCCGTAGCCGGTCCCGGTCCGGTACGGGCGCGACACTGAGGGTTGCGATCCGTTGCCGGGCACAAAAAAAGACAAAAAGGAAAAAAAAGAAAAAAAGAAAAAAAGAAATGAAATCTAACCAAGCAAGAACACAGAGAAAATCAGCACAACAAATAAAGCCCCCAAAAGAAATAAAAGGTAAAAAGCAAAAGCAAAAGCAAAAAAAAAAAAGTAAAGTGTAAAGGAAATGAACAAGAAAAAGAGTTGGAGAGAAACTGACAAATACTGAACATAAATAAAGAAGATAAAGCAGGAGTCCCCAGTGAAGTAAACCAAAGCAAAGGAAAAGAACAAATACTAAAAACAGTAATTCTAGAAAACTTTCCTGAAAAAAAATACTCGAAACATATATTAAAGAGCACACCATGTACGTAGGAATACCTACTCAGAATGACCATCAATATTCTAGTAAAATTAAGTACATTTTAAGAAAAAAAATCTTATGAACATCTAGACAAAAAGAGCATATGATTTATAAAGGAAAGAAAATTAATCACCTGACTTTGAGAGCAACACTTTATATCGAAAGAAAATGGAATAATACATTTAGATACTCAAGGAATAACTATAAGCCAACAATTTTATATCCAGAAAAATTCACCTTCAAGTATAAAGATCACAGACAAGCTATTATCAATATATATGAACTCAGAGAACATTGTTCCCATGAGTCTTTCCTTAGGAATGTACCAGAGAACAAGCTTCAGATGATCCAAATGACTAGCAAGATTGACATAAGGACTGAAGGAAAGCACTAAGTGTAGTTACTTGTAGACTTAAGACAGGAGAGACTGTGGAATGTAACAGCTATGTGGTATTGGAAATACAGAGTACATAATGTTTAAATGGAGGGAGAATAAAGATAGCATGGGTTAAATAGTTGTTTGTTTGTTTGTTTAACTATCTTCAGTAACAATAATTGGTGGTGGTAATAGTATTTTCACTCTGGCACTGTTGTACATATATTGTGATAAAGAAAATAAGATAGATTAGAATATTCTAATTCATCCTCTGCATCCTTGAGAACCAGGATTCTCAGTATGGAAGAAAAGAGATAAAAGATGTAATATTAAAGAGGTTAATTAAGTAAATATAGTTCTGAATTTGAATTGGAAATATTAGGATGAAATCACAAGGTACTATATCTCTAAACATATATGTATTTTCTTGCCCCACTTCCTTGAATATTAAAAGCACTGATCACCATGGTCATAATGACCATCCTATCACCCAGACTGTGATCTAGAAATACCATTTTCCATGAAAAGAAACCAGGATTCTGCAAGAAATGGCTGATTCTGAAAAAATGGTCTGGGCAAGAGATGTCCAAGGCGAGCCTGAAACAACTTAACCTATCAGACATCAAGGAAGCTATCAAAGACTACAAGGGTCAATTCAAAAGGACTTGGGAATCTTGAAGAGGTACCCGTTGGCAAAGACGGGACAATCTGAGCTTTGAGATAAGAACTGTAATGGATTCAAATATGTTCAAATCCATGAGTTCAAAATGAAATGAAAGGGGAAAAAAACCTTAATTGGTCACTTTCTGAGGGTGACAGAAATCCAATTCATTATCTTGAAAACTGGGCAAATAAAAGGAAAGAATCAAGCATTTATCCTGTTTTCCTATATGAACTATACTACTGGTAACTAAATAGTAAGCAAGAAGGAGCATTATCTTATAAAATTTTGCCAGCTAAAAATTGAAAAAAAATGGCAGAATTTAATATCATCATTTTGTGACCCCTAATGAATTACTGGATCTAGGCATTGACCACCAGTAGCTGCACAAATCGAAACAACAAATGAAAACCAGACATCATGACATCACGTGCCTCCTGATGGAAGAGCACATGCTAGCAACTGTCTTGCCAAGGGGATCGAAACTGAATCCATTTTGTGACCCCTAATGAATTACTGGATCTAGGCATTGACCACCAGTAGCTGCACAAATCAAAACAACAAATGAAAACCAGACATCATGACATCACGTGCCTCCTGATGGAAGAGCACATGCTAGCAACTGTCTTGCCAAGGGGATCGAAACTGAATCTGACCACACTTGGGGATCCAGCTGCCAACTCACAAGAAATTCAGAGGACAGAGAAATGTTGAACTGCACCATGAGGGTGCAATGAGCAAAATCCAGATGAATGGAAAGTACAAGTCAAAAGTCAGGGCCCTTCAGCAGATATGCTGTAAGGAAAAGAAGAGGGTGGAGGAGGAACCTATCAATTAAGAAAGACTTCAAAAACAATTTATCATTTTTAAAAGTGGAAACACTAAGCTATACTGTCTAGAGATGCACGCCTGAGTGATTAATACCATGAAGTAAGGCAAAGAAATGAGTATTACAGAAGTCCGGATAGTGGTTACTTTCAGAGGGAGGAAAAGGGGAATCGGGCACACGGAGGAGTCTGAGAGGCTGGGAGAGTCTAATTCTTGACCTGGAAGGTGGTTACAGGGTGTTCACTGTGAAATAAGTCACTTAACTCAATTTACTTTTCACTTTTTTATTGAACTTAATTCACTGAACTATTTGATGTGTTTTTCTGTGTATCTTTTATAACACAAAAGCTTTTTTAAAAAAGGTAACATGACCAGTAGTGCTAGAGACAGGGAGAGCAAAAGATGGATCAAACCTGCTTCTTCATAAAAAAGGTTAACATTCTCAGCTTAAGATTTTCGTATCAGGTCTAAATAATGTTCCTTTCCCTTAGCAAAATGTGTCTACAGCCATTGAAATTATCAATTTAGCAAGGCATATTAAACAGAACAATTCCTTTTAACAGCAGCATATTTCTTTAATATGTTTTGGCTGCCAAAATTATGAGATCACAGCCAAAAGCCCATGAGGAAAAGTGGGTAAATGTTTTAATGACACAGTTCAGAAATTAATTTTTGTTTATGTAAAGTAATTTTAATTAATACAGGCTTCCAAACAATGTTTTAGTCCATAACAACAAAAAGGAAAATAAAAGTATCGTGGTTTTCCAGGCTCTATACCTGATATGTGTAAGACCAAATTACAAATTAATTAGGGACTATCTTCACTTATTTCAGGGGCAGTAATCCTGTCTGTGCTTATACCTAATTTTTTCAGCATATTGTGGGCTGGAATTAAAAACTGATCCAAACCAATAATCACATTTAAAGGCAGATCACAATCAATAATAAGATGCATTAAAAAGTACCCCAAAGCCTGGTTTCATATATAACCTTCTTTTGCAATCTAAATGAGGGAATGTAGAAACCTTATTTTCAAGTGTTTTGTTTGTCTGTGTATAGTCATGAAAAGAATTTTCTTAGCCAGGATTCATTGGATAGAACATGGCTTCTAACAATAGCTGGACATAAGCACTTACAGAAACTCTTACTATCTCTCAACACATAATACGTATCCCGTTTTATCTGTATAAACTTTGTCATCTTACTTCACTATAATATACGGTTTGTGCCAGCAGTTTTTTTCTCTCCTTTTTTGGGGTGTGTGTGGGGGGGAGTCGTATGGTCAAACAGCATTTATAGAATTACTGGAAAGTCGTTTTACTTTCCCTAAAATCTGAGAAAGCAGATATCAACTGTCAACAAGCACATACACAAATACACTCACACAAAAGAAGAAAAGACAACCTCTTGATATAAGGGCTTGTAAAAGGCTTACCTGTAGTTAAACTTTAAAGTAGCTCAATCCTTGTATAATTCAATCAACACTCAAAATTGCTATGATTTTCTGCTTATCAAGCTTCTACACACATACACACACACACACACACACACACACACACTTTTGAAAGCAGAAGGTGAGTCTCACTGGCCTGTGTGCATGCAGTACCCTGGAGCTTACCATAACCGTACAGTCCTCTGAACCGCTGGCAATGACTTGATCGTTATGTGGGCACCAATCTATGTCCAGCACTGGTCCTGTGTGGCCACATACTGTAGGGTAGGATTTGTCAATTCGACCAGTCTGAAAGTAGAGAGAAACCTATTATGTAACATCAATGCCATACAGTTTATATGTTCTCTCAAGCCCATTTCTCCTTTATTACCTCCACCTGAAACTCTCAACTGTCTACGTATGATGACATTCGTCAATGTCAACTTTCATGGAACCACAAAGATTTTACTTAACTGCATTATTAGACAGCAAAAGAAAATATAAAAGTCTTTTTACCAAAATACAATTCTACAATAACCAAATTATAAATTGTATATTTTTACTGTAAAAAAAACACCCCAAACTTTGGAATTATTCAAAATGTGAAATATAACTCTTAATACAGTAAGATAACATCCTCAAATATACAAATTAATAGTTCTGGAAATGAATAGCAATGTGAGCAGGCAAAGTTAAAGTAATAAAAAGAGAAGCTTTAGCTATTGCTTACGGGCTAAAGGGGCACACTACATTTTAATGTCGTCTCTCCACTGACTTCAGTCAATAGAAATGCCAGCCAGCCAGTCTAATTAACACCAACTTAAACCTCACCCCATTATCCACATCTCATTAAGAATAAAGTATTTAATGTTAGTCACGAATAGCTATCATAATTTGCTCATATTACACATTTGAATCTAACAAGCCAACCTGGCTGATCAGATCAATTTTGTGTCAACAAAGGCAAATGCTATTATAACAACAGGTATATAAAAGTTACTTCCTTTTTTAAACAGGTTACTGCCAGTCCATGCTAAGGCTGTATATGTTCTAAGAGTGGTGCATAAAAACGAATCATTGCAATGCATAACTGAACCCATTTTGGTTGTTATTGCTCTCTTGTTATAGCAAATAGTCCCAACATGTGGGCAATCTTCTTGGCAATTTTTCACGATCAGTAAATTCTGTGATTTATCCAATTTGACTTGACTGTGGGAATCTCCAGAGAGACAGTATGCTAAAGTGCAAAGATGACAGGCTCTGGAGTCAGACAGATATGGTTTCAAATCCAAGCTCTACTGCTTAAACAGCAGGTGACCTTAGGCAAGTCATATAACCTCTCTAAGCTTCAGTTCATCATCTGTAAACTAAAAAACAATAATACTTATCTCCCAGGATTACTGTGAGGATTAAGTGAGAATGTTTTTAGTTAAATCACAACTCAGTATTACAGTTACCTGTGTAAAGTATGTAAAAAATTTAGTTATTGTACCCAGAACATAATAAACAATCAATAAAAAACTCTCTTATTACTAGTTCTTCTAGGATAATACAGTAATTTACTCCATCATTAAGAATTAACAAATACGTTATTTGTGAACTTTTATGGGCCAGACACAGTTCTGAGTACTGGAGATACAGATGTGAACAGGGCAGCTCTGTCCTGGCTGAGTGTAGAGTCCAGTGAGAGGACAGAGACATTTTAACAGCCAATTCCAATGAAGCACATGACACACTCCACAATGATAGGCACAAAGGTGGAGGAACACAGAAGAAGGGCATTCAACCAGGCTGGTGGAAGTCACAGTTTCTGGGAAGGCTTTCTGCTGAAAAACGTGAGTTTTTTGTTTATTTGTTTGTTTTATTACCTGAATAAACGTTTATTGAGTAGATATGGAAGAGAAGAATGGATAGAAGAACAGCAAAGAAAAAACTTATGTGATCTTTTCTTTTATGGGGAATTCTACTACTCTATTTCTTCCTTTTGGAACTCATATTAGACACCGCACTCAGCCAGTGAGCGCACCGGCCATCCCTATATAGGATCCGAACCCACGGCGGGAGCTCTGCTGCGCTCCCAGCACCGCACTCTCCCAAGTGCGCCACGGGCTCGGCCCTCAGTCTATTTTCTATAACTGAAAAAGGTGAGGTCTAAGTTGAGACCTTAAGACAGCCCTGTCTACACATCCAAGGCTTAGATTTCTTCACATCCTCCCCCTTTCCTTAACTAATTAAACCCAGTTTGGATCTCATGAAATACATCATCAAAAAGGACTTCAAAAAAGGAAATGCCAATGAACACCATATGAGATAGAATCTGGGTGTTTTAAGAAGGAGCTATCTGGGTCACTCACAGGCAGCAAAGCACAAACAGTTGAGAACCAGACTGCCCAGGCTGGAGTCGTGATTCTGCCATTTTCTAGCTGTGAGGTCCTGGCCAAATTACTTTACCTCTCAACCTCAGTTCCTCATCTGTAATACAAGAATGCTAATAGTTTGTTTTTTGAGTTGATGTGAGGACTAAATGAGACCATCAAGGTAAAGAACTTGGTACTGTCCCAGCATTTTAAGCGCTCAACAAATGTTATCCTAAATTTAACAAATGTTGGGATCTACTCTACCACATCTCTGATTGTGTCTCTCCTTAATGAAGGAACACCTACTAAGCCAGGGGGTTTTGCCTAATTCTCTTATTGCATCCCCATAAAAACCATATGAAATGGATATTTCACTTGCACCTCTGGAGCTCCAACCCCAGGAAATGTTCTACTGCTCATGCTGGTTGTGGTGGGTTCACAGGTATTTGTTCTATTTTATATAATTATTATTTAAACTATAGATAGACTTAATCTTTTGAATATGTGATAGCTCATAATTTAAAACATTCTAATACAGGAAGGCCAGAATGAGGTCTGACGCACATTTAAATAGACATTCCAGAAGGAGAGAATAAAGAGAATGGAACAGAAGCAAAAAATAAAGAACTTTCCAGGCTCAGTTAAAAGCTTAAGTCTTTAGAATCAAGAGGTACAAATTCCAAGCAGTGTAAGTAAAAATAAATCCCGATCTATTCACTTCCTAGTATAATTTAGAACACTTAAAACAAAGAGAAAAATCTCAAAAGCGATCACAGAGAAAGAACAGATTACCTACAGAGTAATTAGACTGATGGTGGGCAGACTTCTCGAAAGCATTTATAGAAACAAATGAAAAAAAATCTTAGAAATGCTAAGAAAAACAATCACCCTTGCATTCTATATCCAGATAAACTATCATTCAAGAGTAATGACCAAAAAAAGGCAAATAAACAAAAGACGTTTCAGACAGACACAGAATTTACCATGTACAGACAGACCCTTGTTCAAATAATTACATTCTTGGACTTATCTCAAAGAATTTCAAAATTAATTTTAAAAAATTAAGTTCAAGGGCCGGCCCCGTGGCGCACTCGGGAGAGTGCGGCGCTGGGAGCGCAGCGACACTCCCGCCGCGGGTTCGGATCCTATATGGGACTGGCCAGTGCACTCACTGGCTGAGCACGGTGCGGGCGACACCAAGCCAAGGGTTGCAATCCCCTTACCGGTCACGAAAAAGACAAAAAAAAAAAAAAAAAAGTTCAAAAACTCATTTCAGGAAAAGAAAATGAGCTAGAAAAAAAGGACTGAGACACCAAAACAACAGCAAGCAAAACCACTATGGTAAATATGGGAAATACGAATAAGTATTTAATGTGTGAAAGAGTAGTAACAATGACTAATTGGAGTACAGATAAAAATAAGACAGAAATAAAATATTAGACAACGATAACATGTAAGTAGAAAGGCATATGATCTGAATTAAAAGGTTTCAGGGCCCTTCTGTAAAGAAAAGCAAGAAAATTGACTGGGAAAGGACGTATGCCACAAACATACTCAACAAAGTCAATCAACAACCTAACCGAAAAACGGGCAGATGAAAATGAGCAGAGAATTCACAAGGAAGTAAACCTAAAAACCCAATAGATACATGAAAAGATATTCAATCACACTGGTAATTAGGGAACTGCAAATTAAAACAATGAAGTAACATATTACACCTATCAAAACTGGCAACAATTTAAAAGTCTAAATACAAGTGCTGGTGAGGATGTCATGAAAGAGGAAGTCATATAAACTGATTATAGAATATCCTGTTACTATTCCTTTTGAGAGCAATTTGGTAATAGGCAGAGGTGAAGATGTCCACCCCAGCAATACCACTCTAGGTGGTCTGGATGACAGAAATGCTCCCAATATTTTGCACAAGAATATTTATTGCAGCACCAATGGAAACAGTGGCAAAAGCGGAAGCAATTTCACTGTCCTTCCATAAGGGAATAAACATTACTTACATGAAAGTTCAACACGCACACACAAAATAAAAGTGTATGTTATAGATAAGATACACATGCACTAAAAAATACAAAAATATAATACATATTTCAGGAAATGATTACCTCTGGGGAAGGAGAAAAGAAAAAATGGGAATGAAATTTTAGCTACATCTGTTATACTTTATTATTTTTTTCCAAAAAAGAGAGATATGAAACAAACATGGCAAAATATTAATATCTGTTGAATCTTGTAGGTGAGTACATGAGTGCCGTTATTTTGTCTGATGTTTCCTATTTTGAAAAAAAAGTTAAAATAAAGTTGAGAAACACACCAATGTATCATTACTAACCACACATTTTTAAAATGCATTACTCTCAAGGAAAAAAGTTTTTCTCCTTGAATTGTTTTATTTTATCTCAGGGTCTTTGCATTCTTAAGCTCTCCCCAGCAAACCACATTTGGCATTCTTGATGGCAAAATATAATACTGAACTCTCAACTAATTTCCAAGAACACCAAATTATTTTTTTCAATCTGGGCTATGAAGAGCTTTTGCTCAGATACAAAGTAATTTTAAGGGGAATCTGGAAGTAGTAGTACTAGCTGTTCTTAATTACATACTAAGAAACTTACTAAATGACTTTTTTTAGTTAAAATTAAACAACTCTGGCTAAAAGTTAATAACTATTCACCAGTACTCGTCAGTAAGATATTTGAGAATAATAATAAGCATTTCTGTCATTACCATCTCAGCTTTGATTAGTCTATAGCATAAAAATACTACCGTCCCACATTTTTAGAGGAACCCAAATGTCACTGAAAGGGCAACTGCTACCTATTTCCATCCTTTCTATCAAAACAAATAACAATAATAATAATAGCTAACACTTTTAGAATACTGATATCACATGCTAGGAAGCAACTAAAGACCTTCATATCTTCTTTCTCACACAACCTT